CCTACATAGGGCACACATTCACACACATGATGATCATACCAATTTTATGTAAACCCTCCCAAATATCCTGCTGTCTTCTACACTTCTGCCGCCTCGTTCTACCACTTCACACTTTTACTTATAGTGCTAAAAATACAAGCGCCTGTAATGTGTACGATGCTCCTGCGGATGCTGCTGTTACCATGGCAGCCATCTGAGACATAAAAGCTCCATTCCCGGAAGAAATAAAAGGAGCCACAGTGGGACAGAGCCAGAGTGGGCCAGGTTATTATGGGCTGGAGATGGATTACACAACATTGTACAGAGAAGGGATTGTGTCAGGCGGTATCAGCTTAACTCTGGCCTTTACTGTGAAGTATAATGTCTGTTCAGGGTCAGGTATAATTCAGTTGAGATTCTACTGCCCTCTGGTGGAAAACAGGATTTTATACATAGCCAAAATATTTAGCATTTGTTTTTATGGAGGTGACTAGTGGGTAGCCACACACCTGCAGAGTTGGGGGTTTAAATCCTGCTTGCAGTCCTCTCTGTGTTGTGTGGGTTTCCTCCTGCAGTTGAAAGGCATGTAGTTAAGCTACTGGTGACCCTAAGTTGCCCACAGTGGCCCTGTGCCTTGCCTTGTACCCCGTGATTCATGCTGTTGGCTTCTGGCTGATAAATGGTCAGCAATTGAAAACAAGTACAACATTTGAGTTGGAACATAAAGTTTTAAAGGTACAAATCGGTCAATAGTTGTTTTCTAGAAATGCATGCACACAATTATCGATCAATTCAAGCATTTTACTTTGAGCACAAATGAGCAGACGGAAGCGGTCTTATTTAGGATACATTATGAAAATACTTGGTGCCTTTAGAGACAGTATAATGCTTGGAAAATTTAAATTGAGGATGGCCAAAAGAAACTCTAATCTGTCGATAAATAATTAATCAGTCATTTATGGGTAGTTTTTCTATATGAAATAACAAACACCTTCATGACCAGTTTTAGCAGGAGTGACGCAATTTGCAGGTAAAGGCAGGGTCTGATACGAAACTGACGTGATTAGACAGCTGACAAGATCACAGCACTTACAGATCACTTTGAAGTGCATGTGTGGGTGTGGTGTGCATGAGTGCTTGCAGCTGGGTGTGTGAGCACGTAGACACCCTTTCACATTCTTAAAGAGGAATTGTCAAATAAAAATACAACCACAGAAAAGCAGACAGAAACAAGAACACAAAGAAATACACCTTTTTCTGACCTTTCACTCTTTCTGTTGTCAGGACTGCCTGTATTTTAAACATATCACTTGATAAAAATAATTCATGTTTATGTTTGTTACTTAAGGCCCGCCCCTCAGATGGTGCATACTCTGTTAAGCCCCGCCCCTCAAATGGTGCATATTCTGTTAAGCCCTGCCCCTCCAATGGTGCACACTCTCTCTTAAGCTCCACCCCTTAAATGGTGTACACTGTGTTAAGCCCTGCCCCTCTAAGCGTGTGTAGTCTGTTAAGCTCCACCCTTCCAGTGGTTATTGATCACTTACACTCCTCCCTCTCACTAATGGCTCTTTTCCTTCTATATTTTTTTTCCCACTTCCTTCTTGAACCTTTGTGTTTTTTTGTGCATTTTGACAAATCATGCTGCTGCTGTCCATACAGGTGAATATTTTCCCCAGAAGACCCCTGACCCCTGTCTTATCCCCTCATCTCGCCAGCTGGAACACACGCCACTCTGAAGCAGTTCATTATCACTGTTCACAGCGAATTCCAATAAGTACGACAAGTCCTTTGGCATCTGATTTTCTTTAATCCAAACCTGAAATCTTTCCAAACTCACACAGTTAGTCTTTTCTGCAGTACACACACATATACACACACCCCCGTGAAGAAAGAAAGACACCCTGGATCTGCAACACCCAGAAAGCGCTTGTGCCACGATGCAACAGCTTGGCCTGAATGCTGCCAGCACGGCCTCATCGCCTCATTCACCCTGGCTGAGTTACGTAATGCCCATTTGGCATTCGTCACGCAAAACCAAGGCTGTCCTACGCATTAAATCAACTTTAAACTCATGAAATCAACTGAGAAGGAGGAGAGAGGAGGGACGGCCACAGAGGCTGGCGGCGGATGGTCTCTCACTTGGACAGGGTCTTCTTAATGTGCGCCACCTCCATCTGGAAGGACAACAGGCCGATCTGCTCCAGCAGCCGTAAAGGACACCAACACGCACAGGCTAATTACGGTCACCACACAGTGACAGAGGGTCATAGCAGATCTTTGGACCCAGTGGCCGCATTTACTATCTGAGATATCAGGGTTGATTCTGCCTGTGTAAACTGATGCTATTGGATAGTGGGGGTGATACTGCCATTATATACTTGTGCTATTGGATATTGGGTTGGATACTGCCTATGCAAACTGCTGCTATTGGATAGTGGGGGTGATACTGCCATTATATACTTGTGCTATTGGATATCGGGTTGGATACTGCCTATGCAAACTGCTGCTATTGGATGTTGGGGGTGATACTGCCATTATATACTTGTGCTATTGGATATTGGGTTGGATACTGCCTATGCAAACTGCTGCTATTGGATGTTGGGGGTGATACTGCCATTGTACACTTATGCTATTGGATATTGGGTTGGATACTGTCTATGCAAACTGATGCTGTTGGATAGTGGGGTTGATACTGTCTGTGCACACTTATGCTAATGGATATTGGGGTTGATGCACTTTTGTACCTGCAGTGAGAGACGGATCTTCTTCTCTTCATCCAGTTCATTCATCAGCTGTTTAATCTCTTTTCTACAAGGTTCAGAAGGATTGCAGAGTCACCACAACACAACCTCACAAGCCTCACAGGTTCCCACGTCCACCCCCAACCTACTTGTGTTGCTTCCCCATCAGCTCGACGGTTCCCCTCAGGTCTCTGAGCTGGGTCCGGAGCTCCTCCACGCTGACACTTTCGCTCCTGGACTTGGTGTCTGGTCCATGGCTACTGAATGCCCCAGAGGGAGGGATCATTGCAGGTTTGGGTGGTAGAAGCAGCCGGATGCCAAAGGCCTGACAGAAAAAAATCCACCAATGAATATGACCAACCCAACCTAAGCTCAACCCCCCACTCCCTAAGGTTCAGGAGACAGTCTGGGTCTTCACAGCTTATCGTTGACCCCAGCCCCCTAACCCTGAGGTCCAGGGGACAGTCTGAGTCTTCATAATTTATCATTCTGACTCCTTCGCCCCTGTGTTGTTCCCAGTACACTGTAGGCTCCTCTGTGATCTGCACATTATTCTTCTCCTAAGTTCTACTGCTACCTTATGAGCATTTCGGGAACAAGAGGAGGGAACAATGTGATGGACACAGTACCTTCTTGGATGTAGAGCATTGCTCCTCGTCCTTCTCCTCTGCTTTCGGTGTGTCTGAGAGGTCTGGGCAGGAGGCAGTGAACTTCAGGAGGGGTAGAATGAGAGTGAAAGAGAGAAGAAGATAAAAATAAATAATGTGAGAGATACCAGAAGAAAGAAAAATTTAACAGGACATGAGTTTTATTGGCATAACAAGGACAATAATTAGCACAGAAGACAATGTGTGATTGTGTGTGTGTGTGTATGCCTGTGTGCGTGCATGTATATGTATGCGTCTGTTTGTGTGTACAGTGTGTCCGGGTCTGTGTGTGTCTGCATCTGTGTTAATACACTGTGTACAGTGTGTATATTGGCTTGTGTCTGTGTGTGGACTGTGTGTGTATCTGTTTGTATCTCTGTGTCACACACTCTACACACTTGTTCCCCAACATTCCCGGCTCTTTTCACAGCAGGTGGGAGTTAAATTTACCCTCTGAAACAGCACGGTCACATGACCAGTAGCTACCAGCAAGGGTTTAGGCAGAAGCCCTGTGTGAGTTACGGCCGCAGTCCCGAGCAAAGTGAAACACAGTGTCAAATGGCCCCCACACACCCCCAGAAGGGAGAATGCATGCACACACCCCACTGCAGGGCCACTCACATGCTGTAACCCCTGTGTGCGTGGCCGGCGGTCCGCCACCCTTGGCCGAGTGGCTGTCAGGTGGTTCAACTTCTCACTGGTCGTGACAATAGAGTCAAAGTCTTCCACCTCTTTTGTGGAAGAAAATGAGCAGAACTCGAATCAGAGACAGACATCTGGCAGATAGTCAGGAACAGACTAATCTGAGAAGAAAGGAAGGAGCTCAGACTGCCACAGAACATAGAGACTCACACCTTCCAGCATGACTCACACACGCTCACATGCACAGTTCAGATATTCCTGTCATTGTGGGGACTCTCCATTCATTTCTATGGGCATAACCGTGCTCCTTTAGTCTACACAATGTGGTAAGTACAAACCCACACACACACACACGTACACAGTGGTAGTCAGAAAAGGTACATTTCACAGATGAGTGTGTGCCAAGGCCCTACCAGCAGTCAGGGCAGAGCTGTAGCTGCCCATGGCGAAAAAAGCATAAAGAGCCAGTGATAAGTTGCAGAGAAAAGAAGAGAAAAGCCTGAAAGTACAGAGACACAACAGTTAGCATCCACTGCAGAGCTCTGCCTCGTTTGCATCCAGTGCAGAATAATGCCTTGTCTGTATCCAGTGTACTTTATCATCTGCATCTAGTGCAGAGCAATGCCTCATCTGCATCCAGTGCGGAACACTGAATGTCTGCATCCAGTGCGGAGTCAAGTTTCTGCTGAAACTTTTTTTCCCCGAACAGCCAACAAACACCATTTCCAATTGATACAAATGCCCCAGCAACTAACACCCCGATACAGTCTCCCCCAATATCCAATACCCATTATGCCAACTCCCCAGAAATAACACACCTAATACAGACCCCTCACTGTAATTGACACCACTGACACAGACCCCCCAACCATGAGACCAAAACCCCCAGTAACTGACACTCCTGATACAGACCCCCTGTAGTTTCCAACACCACTGACACAGGCCCCCTCAATCTCCCACACCCCTGTTACAGACCCCCAGTAACTGACACCCCTGTCACAGACCTCCCTAGTCTCCAATACCACTGACACAGGCCCCCAAATCTCTGACACCCCTGACACAAGACCCCCCTCCTCATTGACAACCCTGATACAGAGCCCACCCCCCTCAAAACCACATCCCTTGTGCCTTAGGTCTTGTACTGACCAACTCCCTTGCTCACATGCCAGTGGAAGCTCTACACTCTTAGATTTGTGTGTGTGGGGGGGGTGGCAGAGCTCACCAATGTGCTGGTCCAAGCCACCCTGTTTTGGCATGGAATTTCCACCTGCTGACCTGCAGAGGACAGAGGGCAGATGTCAGAGGGCAGAAGAGGAAGGGGAGGGGGCAGGTAATGTCCATGGCCTCTCAAAGAACTGCACACTCACCATATGAGCCAGCTTTTTACTCATGCCCCCAGACTCAGCTCATCTGAAGGAAAGTACACTTTTGTGCCTGGAGGTTATATCGTATTCTGAAACCTGCCTGGGGGTCTCCCCTTCTGTCAGGCTGCCTCTGTGCTCAGTCTGCCCCTCCTACTGTTGCTGCTGCACAATTCCTTCTCAGCAAGCCACACCCCACTTCACCCTTTGTGCTTATATGGACATGCCAAATCACCAATCACACGAGGGAATAAGAATACGAGCGTGCAGCAAACACGGTCATGTCCATCTTCACTGGCAGGTACAGATACTGTATATTCTACAGGAGCCCATAGTAGGGTGCATCAAACCCCCCAAGTGAAAAATATTTTCATGGCTATATAAAAAAAATGTTCTATCTGTACTAAAAACACACTGTGCAAAATAATTTGAAATTTGGATAAGTTCTACCGGGTCCACAACAGCCATGAAATTCTGAAATAACGGCAATAATTCATACTTTGGAATAGTTAT